GCAGGACGCAGCAACCCGCGTGATAGCTCGGCTGCTGAAGGAGAGAGACGCAGCAAGACAGCAGCTGCAGGGGTTAGCGATGAGCTGGTGGAGGAGATGCAGTCTCTGGCGCGTGAGCTGCTGAGCCAGAGAAAGAAGAGAAAGCCGGTTGGGTTTGTTGCTGCTGCAGCAGCAGCAGCAGAATTTGCATGCACCTTGTCTTTGCCGCTGCACTCAGCAGCAGCAAGAGGAGTGTTTAAAGTAGCAGCAGATACAAATGCTGCTCGTCATGCTGCTGTCTTCAGCAGCAGCAGCAGCAGCAGCAGCAGCAGCAGCAGTGGTGTTGAGGATTCTGCTGCAGCAGCAGACAACAGCAGCAGCAGCACCGCAGCAGCAGCAGCAGCAGCAGCAGCAGGAGGAGTAGGAGGGGGAGAAGGAAAGGTAATAAGCGTATCTTCTGGGGCTGATGGGGCTGTTGTTTTTTTTAATATATATAAACAAAAACAAATAGAAAAAATACAAACGCATGCAAAGGCATGCAGATGCTTCCTGCTGCACCCCGATGAACCCTTACTCGTCACTGGCTCGGATGATAAAACCATCAAGTAAACCCTAAACCCTAAACCCTAAACCCTAAACCCTAAACCCTAAACACTAAACCCTTATCAGCTAAACCCTAAACCCTAAACCCTAAGCAGCTAAACCCTAAACCCTAAACAGCTGATCCATAAACCCTAAACCCTAAACCCTAAACCCTAAGCAGCTAAACAGCTAAACCCTAATCAGCTAAACCCTAAACAGCTAAACCCTAAACCCTAGACCACAAAACCCCCTTCTTTCCTTTCTCCCCTCTCTCTCTCCCTCCTCCTCCTACTGCTGCTGCTGCTGCTGCTGCTGCTGCTGCTGCTGCTGCTGCTGCTGCTGCTGCTGCAGGATTTGGCGTGGTTCGAACGACTTCAGCAGCAGTTACAGTTTAGGGTTTACGTTGCGTAAGCAGCGAGGAGAGATCGGTGGTTTAGCTTTACATCCACTAAACCACCTTGTTGCTGCTGCTGCTGCTGATCGCAGCTGGGCGTTTATTGATGCACAAGAAGGAAAATATCTTGGGGTGTATAGGGATCTACCCTGTCAGGTATTTATTTTATTTTATTTTGTTTTGTTTTGTTTTGTTTTGTTTTGTTTTGTTTTGTTTTGTTTTGTTTTTTTTTGTTTTGTGGCTTTGCGTTTTCTCGTTTTTTTGTTTTGGTGCGTTTGTGGACTGCTGCTGCTGCTGCTGTTGCTGCTGTTGCTGTTGCTGATGCTGTTAGTGTTGCTGCTGTTGTTGCTGCTCCTGCTGCTGCTGCTGCTGCTGCTACGACTGCCTGTGTTCCTGTTGCTGCTGCTGTTGCTGCTGCTGCTGCTTGAATCCCAGCCAATCCTCTTTCTGTTCGTGTTGCTGCTGCTGCTGTATCTCTTGCTGCTGCCCCTCCTCTCCTCCTCCTTCTCCTGCTGCTGCTCCTGCTGCTGCTGCTGCTGCTGCTGCTGCTGCTGCTGCTGCTGCTGCAGTACGGGTGCGTGGCGTTTCACCCAGACGGAATGATAATGGGGGGTGGGGGCGTCGACGGCAGCATTTATATTTGGGATATGAAGACACAGCAGCAACGCGCAGCACTGCAGGGGCATGCAGACAGAATCAATAAACTTACTTTCTCGGAGAATGGGTATTATCTTGCTACTGCTAGCTCTGATGGAACGGTAGGGTTTATGAGGGTTTAGGGTTTACGAGGGTTTAGGGTTTAGGGTTTAGGGTTTAGAGTTTAGGACACTGCAGGGGCATGCAGACAGAATAAATAAACTTACTTTCTCGGAGAATGGGTATTATCTTGCTACTGCTAGTTCTGATGGAACGGTAGGGTTTAGGGTTTATGAGGGTTTAGGGTTTACGAGGGTTTATTAGGGTTTATTAGGGTTTATTAGGGTGCATTAGGGTTTATTAGGGTTTATTAGGGTTTATTCGGGTTTATTTGGGTTTATTCGGGTTTATTAGGGTTTATTAGGGTTTACTAGGGTTTACTAGGGTTTATTAGGGTTTACTAGGGTTTACTAGGGTTTAGGGTTTAGGGTTTTGTGGTGTGTATTAGGTGCGTTTATGGGACTTGCGTAAATCAGCATCATTTCAGACATTAAAGATAGAGGAAGAAGAAAGAGAAAAAGAAAAAGAAAAAGAAAAAAAAGAAAAAATAAAAATAAAAATAAATAATGTAGTTTTTGACTTCTCTGGTTTATATATTGCTGCATGCACTTCTGCTGCTGCTGTTCATCTTTATAACTTCGAATCACGAGCGCATGCAGCCCCAATCACAATACTAAGAGGACATACAGATGCCGTCATGGATTGCGCGTATGTTT